TATTTAATCCCGCGAGCATTTAATTGTGTTGGTATTTGATACTGTGGGAATTTCTTTCCGTAAGCCTTCGATTTTTTGATAACGTTCCCTTGCACCTAATTTTGGTAACAAATTGATGTTTTGTGACATTTTTTACTTTTTAATTCTATCTCAATCCATTGAGAAGATGCAGCACTTTGAAATCAGTTTTGATGGAAACAACAATACAGAATAGTGATTTTTTTTTGGCAATTTTGAGACGTCCCCCCGTTGCCATGGTAACAGGAAATTTACGATTGAGCATGCTGTTACAGAGGCTATGGTCCAGTCAACATTTGTGCCAAGTTTCATCAGTATTGAATCATTTTTCATAGTTTCATAGCAGTTTGAACTTGTAACAGGAGGCTTTTCAATGAAAACGGCCATTTTTCACAATATGCTCATTCGGTAAAAGATTAATTAAAAAATAAAAAATGTCACAAAACATCAATTAATAATTCATTCATTTTTTTATTCCGTAATTATTTAATCGATTGAGCATTGAATTGATTTCCATTAAACAATTGAACAAAATGTTGATTCTGAAAAGGACTTGATGTAAGGTGTTTGCAATTCTTAAAATGAAAAGATGATTGTTTCGTTTCCCTTGTGTTTGGATAATTGTGGTATGATTTACCAAAAGTTGAAACATTTGATGTTACTCCCCAAAAAGTGATTATTTATGGCATTTGTTATTACAAGTACAATGTTTTTATGTTTTCTCACAAAACTGGGGTCATTAAGTCAAGGGAAAGAGGAGACAAACCTCTGAATTTATTCTCTAATAAGTAGACATTACTTTACAGTAATATATCTTATTGTGACGGTTATTTTACTTAGTTCGCCTATTTGGTTAATTATGGAAGATTGTTTTTGTCTGTTTTGTTGATAATGACAAGGTTTTTGTATGTTTGTCAATTGTAACAATTTTTCTCTGCTTTATCAACCATGACAGGGGTTTTTTTTCAAATGTTGAACGCCGGTCCCAATTTCCAATTGTTATTTGAGATTTAGAACAAATATTCGGGAAACCATCAACTTTAAAAGACCTTCTATATATTGTTTTTCACCAGTTTCTCTAGAATTCAAGACCTCTTAATGTTTTATTTTTCAGACACATCCATAGATGGTCACCAAAATCAAATAGAAAGCAGCTTGTGGGAAAGCGCGTGCTGGAAACTTGATGCAGAAGTGCGATCCGAGGAATGTAAAGAATCGAAACCTAGTAAGAACCCGGATGTCTTAGAATTAGTCTGGCAACGCTTATGACCGGGTAGCATACTTCCCAAGGTGTCTGGGGAATAACAGTCAGAATAAAGCCGGTATAATTTGTACAAACTGAACGCTAAAATCGCGGTGTCAAATGCTATATAAATTCGACGCTAAAATGACAGCGTCAAACCCTAATATTCTGTGACTAAATGCTAATTTTTTCATTGTCAAGTTGCATTGAATTTACTATATACGTGTATTTTAAAAGATTGACTGTTATAATGGTGATTGACCAATAGTTGATACTGGAAAACGTTTGAGATAAAATATAAATCTCCATAAAATGTAAATAGCATGGCCAACTCTTTATAAACTGAACGTTACAGGTAATTTCCGTCGGAAATTTAAAGAAATTTTCTTGGGTCACGTGAATTATTTATCGTTTATGCAAATTGCATTACACAATTGAATAGAATTATGGCAAAATTTTAACTTATTTTTTACTTTCACCTGTTCACTCACTATGTACCCTTGTATGGGTATAATGTCCCTTCAAACACTAAAATTCCGTTTTATTAGTCCCCTACCGGTTTACCGGAGGGGACTTTAGGTTTACCCTCCGTCCGTCTGTCCGTCCGTCAGTCCGTCCGTCCACAAAACTGGATCCCGCAATAACGCAAAAAGTACTGAAAAATATTTTAATGAAACTTGATATATGGATAGATGGCAGTAATGGAGATTAGCACGTCTTTTTTTCTTTTCTTCCTATGTTGAAAATTCTGGTTGCTATGGCAACATAAATAGACTGAAAATATGGCAAATTTTACACACAACCTGGATCCCGCGATAACGCAAAAAGTACTAAAATTATTTTTATGAAAACTTGATATATGGATAGATTGGCAGTATGGAGATTATGCACATCTTTTTCCTTTTCTTCCTATGTTGAAAATTCTGGTTTGCTATGGCAACAAATAGACTGAAAAATATGACAAATTTTACACATAACCTGGATCCAGTGATAACACAAAAAGTTACTCGAAAATATGTTTATGAAACTTGACATATGGGTAGATGGCAGTATGTAAATTATGCACATCCTTTTCTTATCTTCCTTTGTTGAAAATTCTGGTTGCTATGGCAACAAATAGACTGAATTTTCAAGATTTCTGATCCTAGTTTTTAAGTTTTTTCACTATAAGTTCTTTATTTCTTAAGGTATTTTTTTTTCAAACTTTAAAAAATATAAGTTGCTTGTCATCAACCACATCATATGTGACAAGGTTTACAACTCTAGCAACAAAATTTATCAGAATTAACCTCCCTTGAACTTAAAATTTTCATGAAAAAAACATTTTTTTTTTTAATAACTTCTTTTTTTGAATGTATCTACTTCAAACTTCATATAAATGTTTCTTATTATCACTCAACATTTGTGAGTGTTCAATTACTCTATGCAAGGGACTATTTCCAGAATTATGCCCCTTTTGAACTTAGACTTTTTTTTGAGAAATTGGTCATTTTTTTACTCCAACTTCTTCAATCATGATAGGATTTTTTAAAAATGTTATATTTTGATAACAAGGGATGTTTTTAAAAAATAACTTTAGAGTGTCCCTTCAGTCTGTCTGTCTGTAACATAAAAAACTGTTTCCTGTGATTAACTTTTTAAAAACTTTTTTTTAACAAATTTACTTAAAATAGAAAAACATAAGTGAATGGCCAATGGCCCTTCAGAATGTTGCTTGGGCTCTTACCGGTAGGGGACTTATGGATTGCTTGCAATACTATGATAATTGCTTGTTTGTATAGTTTTATAAAAAAAAACGATAAAAACTAATCAATAAGGCCCCATTATTCTGGCAATTATGCTTTTTATATGAAATTAAAAACTGCTATTTCGGAATCCTTCGCGCATGTTCCGGTGCTACCAATTGAGAAATTTATTACAAAAATCTGCCGATGCGTTCGTGTTACAAATGCGCTTATAAATGAACAAACGCATATGGTTATTAATAGATTGGTTGGTATGCAACTTTCCGCAATCTTCACTTTTTATACCAAACCAACGCCTATATATTTTATATGTAAATAACTATATATGCATGTATATAGACATAGAAATAACTCTTGTGAAACAATACCAGTAAAAACAGAACAATATTTGTAGAGCTGGCAAAGAATCACCCTTGTGAAACATTCATAGTCAAACTAGCGCAGTTTTCTTGTATCATTTATTTCAGTGCAAAAAGGAACAAAAATGATATTGACATAAATGATAAAATGATAACTTTATCCAAAAATATCACGTAATGTTTAATTTAAGTTTTATATCCTGAAAACTTTTTGATGAATAATTACAAATGGGGGGGTCTCGTTATACTTTGGACTTTTTCAAAAACCAATGGCTGCCCTCAATAACATTTGGTCTGCTTTAAAATGTTATTTCATTTACCTTTCAATGTTTTCTTAAATGATAAATTCTATATCAGAAACTTGTTTCAGCTCTATTGCATAAAAATGATTCATTCTAACTTATAGTTCTTGATGTAAATCAATGCTAAAATTATCTATGAAAATTTTCTATTTCTTTTTTTTCTATTTCATTAATTTATTGAAAAAATCTTTTATCGTGAAAACTGATATTTCTGTTATAGTGAAAATCGAGATTTCATATACATATTGATCTATTCCCCTTGTAACAATGCGCTTTAACCAGTATCACATCGAGCACGGCTTTTCCGCGAGTTTGACATTTCTGTTTGTAACAGATAAGGCATCTCGTGTGTACACACTTTATCCTGGCACTGTAGACGGTCGAGAATGAAGGTTTGCCGTTATCCTCTATAGCATAACCTATGAATAATTTATCAGTGGTAATGAATGCGTAATGTTTTGATGCGCAAACCATTTTAGCTATTTGTCTAATACCATTATGGCAATCATTTGCGTCCTAATTTGTTCCTAGATATTTTGTCTCGGCGTCTTGATAAGTTTTATCCTTAAAATTATCAATGCCATCGCTTTTATTCATGCCGAGAATTTTAGTGTGTGTTTACAATGTTGCAGTCACCATCATGTTCGTCGTCGTCGTCAACATCACATTATTATCATTTTTGTCATCATCATTGTCATGAGCCATTCCATCAACTTGTTCGTTGTTTTTTCTTTAACATTTTGTGCCTAGTTATTAATATTGTTGTAATTATCAGAATCACCTTTATCACTGCCATCAAAATCATCACCAAAATCATCATCATCATAATCACCATCAATTTCATCATTATTTTTATTATTACCATCATTTCCATCAATATTTTCATCATTATTATCTTTATTATTATTAGCATCATCATTATCAACTTCACCCGTATCATTCTTATCCAAGTGATCAACGTAAACATGTTTTTTTAATCAATTTCCCTGCATACTTTCTTTATGATCATTATTTTCATTATCGTCTTTGTTAAGATTATAAGTTTTTGTTAGGCATCACCTATTCTATATGTTTTTTACCTTTTATTTTATGCACAATAATATTTTTGTTTTCCTCTTTTAAATTTTATGTTACATGTTCTACATCTTTTACTACCACTTTATCATTGTTGATATCGTTTTCTTGTAAATTAAATAATGTAAATATTTTCTTAGCTATGTATTTTATACTTTTACCTTGCTCTTTAATGTGTGCCTTTTCCCTTTCTCTAAGGTCTTTCCTTGTATTTCCTTGTTATTTTCTTATTGTGTTTATGTTCTTATTATTATTTCAGGTTGGCAAAATGCGGTCATAGGGCTCATGATATTTTCTGCGGCCTTTGGTTTTGTCGCGGCTATTCTAGCCATGTTTGGTGTATGTACATCACCATTACCGAAGAAGATATACTACTTCCATTCAGCCGGAGAAATATTTTTTGTTTGTGGTAAGATCATTAGTTTTCTTTGAATAATTCCTCTGCGAAAATGCTACATTTCATTAACAAGTAAATGGCACAGTATACTTCATTAACTTGTTTTTATGCCTTGATACATATATTGATGTATTCCATACTAGGACCAGATTATTCCTCATCATCAACTTCATCCTATATGACAAGGGTCGTAACTCTTGTACGTAAGTTCTAATAATTACGTCCCCTTTGAATCTAAAATATTGTATAAAGCTGATACTTTTTGCTTAATCTACTTCAATATATCCGGATGTATTGAATAAGTGGCGGAATGGCCGAGTGATTAACATGCGGACTGGTAATTCAAGGATTACTATCCGCTTTCTTTCTTACCCTGTCAGAGGCGAGCTGTTGTTTCTTTGAGAACAAACTGTACACTCATTGCTCGATATTGGTTGGTTTTAGGGACGGATTCTAGAGTGTGTTTATGAGCTATAGTCACAATCGAACTTAAATAAATTCTTCATAAAACAATGCATCCGGAATTGACTATAACTTAAATGAACTGTACCTTCTCGTCCTACATTAGATATGACAATGGTGTTAACTATTCAAGACATTGTATTTAAAAAGTTGAGCGTGTTGCCTTCTCTGACAGTTCTTTGTATGAGTCGAAATAAATAATCAATTAACAAACATACACTCGAGACTTTTTTTCTTATTGATGCACTCGCTGTTTTCCTATTGAATGTATATCTTCAAAGAAGGTCTAAGAATTGATATTTGGCTTGAGTGCATTCAAAACTGCAGATCTAGATGAAATACAAGATTATTTGTACAAACATGTCCATTCACCTTTCATTTAAGTGCTGCCTTAAAAGCAAACGTCCTCTTTATGGCTTTATTAAACAGTTTTGCATTTAGGCGTTCTTCATGAATTATGTATGCCTTCTGATGAATTAAGAGACGGTTTTGTTATTGCAAAACATGCATTTTTATATGTTCGTGGGCGGACTAAATTACCAGAACGTAGCATAAATAACACGTCCCGTGAGATCGATGGAAAAACAATCTTCAAAATATCCAGTTTCGTTAAGCAAATGTTATGTGCATCAGTGTAAAATATACCAGTATCGGTAATACGGACATCAGTCTTGCTAAATGAAGGCTATTTTCTTATTTGTTGGGTTTGACATTACTGAAGACACATGACAATAAACCGAGTTTCCGTCAGTCCGTATAGTTGTAAAGAATGAATCCAAATTTTTCGAATCTTTCTTTGATTCATGATCATGAGATCACCAAAAATGTGAGTTTCCTGTTGTACATGTATATTTGAGCATTAAACATTGCATATGGAACGCCCTATCAATTACCCATAATCCTTCATTAAAGTGCTTTAGCAATATGACGGAAATTGCAAAAAAAGTGTGATTGTGGGTCATCGGCGGCGAGGTGATACAATGTCAATAATTCATTATTTCTTCAGTGCTTTCAGGTCCGATTTTGTACCTAAATAAAAAGTATATAAAATGACGGTGAGGACTTGTTTAATGTATTGAAACGAAACCGAAACGACAACATAGCTCAAAATTATAACCATTTCAGCACAGCTCATATAATTGTAATAAACATGTCTTGCTTCGAGTTTGGGCTTTCCAAAGGCAGTTAAAAGAATGTCATTATCAAAAGTTATGGACATGATTATTCATTTGGGTAGCCAACAGAGACATGGTCAAATGGCATGGAATAGAAGCACAGCCCTGGTGATATAAATGTAGATTAGTTATGACGTAGCATTTCTAGTACTGGTATTATGCACGTAAGCAGCTTCTATTGTCATCTTAACTTTGTAAGATCACGTTAGCCATTCCTTTGCCTTTCTCGTGCAGCTAAACTAGAGTACATACATGTACGTAAATTCAAGTACGTGTTCTGTGTACTTTAATATTTTGCTGACAATGTTTTCTTATCTAAATTATGCACAGATACAATCCAAATTATTCATAAACAATTAGCATTATTCAGTGACTATGAATAATTTCTTGAAAGTCTTAGAACGATATATTTGGGCGTATAGTTTAACATATTCTGATTCATTTTCTGCGAACACTGATAACTTTACTCCAGGCAGTGATTCAATTGTTGTGGGTGATTTTAAGATACAAGTTTATCGGAGAGGGAATGCTGAATCGTAAATATTTGAAGTATGACGTCATTACTCGTTTCTAAGTTTAAAAGCAACACTATGCTTTTTAATCCCATCTTGCAACGGTGTTAATGTTAAGGATAACGGATATGTGAGCCGCCATATTGTTTTTTCCAAAATGACGTCACATTGGAAAACACCCCTTCGCGTGACAAAAATGTTCTAAAAATAGGTTATGCGAAAACTGACGAAAGAATGCAAGGACGACTTTAGATTTTATATGATTTTACCCATTCATTTGGGGTTCGTATAATCAGTATATAAAGTCTTCTATTTTGAGAGCTGTCCAACCAGCTGATGGCGGTTTGTTTTCCGGAATAAGCACCCCAATCATATCTGTAATTTAATAAAACTACTGTCCGAATCATGTATTCATTTCTATTTTCAGCATTGTCAGTAATTTTTGTCTAAATCACATTCTCTTTAACAGCTGTCCTAATTATGTATTCATTTCCTTTTTCAGCATTGTCTACAACTGTTGCCTTAATCACATTTTCTTCAGCTGCTGTCCTGTGTATTCATTTCTATTTTCAGTACTGTCTTCAACTATTGCCTTAATCTCATTTTCTTCAGCTGCTGTCCTAACTGTGTATTCATTTCTATTTTCAGCATTGTCTACAACTGTTGCCTTAATCATATACGCAGTAGCAATATCCATGGACGAAAGTATTCGTTCCCACACCTACGGCAGTGGCTATGGTCTAGGGTGGGGTGGAACTGCCTTTTTCTTTGCCGCATCCTTCTGTATGAGCCTTGATGAACTTGTGCGTGAGTCTGCACAAAATAAGTGCTGTAGATATTTATGCTGGAGGTCAAGGTCGAACGATAGAGACAATTCACAGAATGTATGACGGCGTAGTAATTGGATAGCTTTAAATTTGTGTACGACATATACAGAAATATTGCGCTGCTTAAGATGTTACGTTTGAAAACTCAAATTTCGAAGTCAGGTGACCACAAAATTTGCTTCTAGCCACTAAAAGTAAATAAAGTCTACAAACAAACTTGTCGAATCGTGGAAAGACAGTCGATTTGTGGATGAGGACAAATTCGTTATAAGAATTGCTATGTTGATTCTCTTAATTTTGTCAAATCGAAGTTTTCATTTTGTGCAGAGATTGGAAACTGGTCTAAATTTGTCAATTTTCTTTTTTTTTCAGTAAACAGACATCACACAATGTCACGCTTAACGTAACTGTACATACAATTTAGAAATATTATCTGAATTGATGAAAGTACGCCTTGCACACGTGGAAAAATGACGTTTCTGATAAGATATTTATCATTGCACTCAAGCTTCTCTTTATATACACCTTACATTACATACTGTGTTATATTGCCAACACTTAACTTTTCTTAGATATAAGTTCAAAATTGTTTTATGGTGTTAAGGACTTCTGCCCCTAATGAGCATGTTTGAAAGTCGCCATTTTGGAATTTTTCTCATATACTAAGTAACAGTAGAAAAACGCCCTATCACGTGATGTTCTAAAAACAGGTACATTTGTATGCGAACATTGTCGAGGCCGGCTATTACGATATTATCCGACATAGCCGGTATTTACCGATTCTTAAGGGTATGTAATTCTATTGGGTAAAATACATTAAAAGCATTTTTTATCAAAAAGAAAATGTCGCAAAGAGCGTTAAATTCTCAATAGTGTGTTAATCAATTATGTTGTGTAAGTTTCAAATATTTATATGTTATTGCATTTTACAAAGTTTCTCTTTTGTTAAAATAGGCACTATGTTATATAATTTGTTTTATTAAACAATGTTATTCTCTTTTTTGTGCTGACGGATTTAGATATTTATATGATTTTATTAATATACAAATATATATAGCATAATAATCATTTTTGTATACGTTTGTTTTTTTATTAAAGGTCGGGGTTTGTTATTCAACATTAATGAAATAAAATTTGTCTGATTTAATGACATTAATGCTAACTTTAAAAATCACTTACCTACTAAGTGGTTGAAATTATCTTTTAGATTTTGATACAATGCTCATATGATACAATGTTTTTACGAGATAGTTTTAAATAACAAGTTAGTTCCGATTAGACAAATCAAGTGCACCGAAGAATTAAAAAAGGAAACAATCTCTTGGGCAAAATATAATTTCAATCACTAACGCTGATTAATCAATAATCAAAATCATTTTATTCCAAAATCATGATTAATTTTCTCATATTAAAAATTCCATTACATTTTATTTTAACAGTAACATAGTGTATGTTACTATTTTTAGAAACATACATGTATATGTTACTATAATTAGTATCAGTGTGTGTTACTATATTTAGTAACATATCTGTCTTTTTATAGCAGTTTATGAATTATTAATATCTATTAAATATAAAAAGGTTTCACGGATTTTGGATTTCATTCTACACTATGAATGTTAATAGGCCTATGTCAAAAAGATATAAATATGACATCAATTTACAGACAGTTGCTACAAATTATATTTCACTTTTTTGCTTTTTTTTTAACTCATCATGAATTTATTATTGTAGTCTGAACACTATTTATTTGTAAACAAATTAATAAGTAGAGTTTTTAAAGACATCAAATGTGAAGAAAATATACATTTTTTCTCATTTGTATATATTTAAGATAATTATTAGAAACAAGAAAATTAAAACATTTTTATAACATTTAATAGAGTTTTTTTTCAAAAGCATGAATGGCGGCCGTGAACACTCGCCCATTTTGAAATGTATCTGGTTATATAACACCGTTAGTATTGGATTTAAAACAAGACTCATTAAAATAAAAGATAACTTTATTATTATTTCATAGAAGAAGAACTTCACTGTACTATATAACATGATGTTATCTCTTTTTTGAGTGTGACTAAAAAAAGGATTGGAGCACCACACTAAATACCGTATTCCGGTATATACCGGACAAGACGCTTGAATGATAAAATGCTAAAATCTTGCCTTTTCACCCAACGGAATGAACTTTAAAAGGTCTAATTCATCTTTTCACACCGATTTATGTATGATAATGCATGAAAAATGTAAAAACCGGCGAAAAAAAACGATATTTGTCTATTTTGTGATCATGATTTTTGCAAGCGTCTAAAGGTACTGCTCCAATCCTGTATTGAGTTAAATCCCTCTTTTTTTTTCACTTACATGTATACTTGTGTAACATTTGGCATTATCCAAAGTTGATTTTCAGTTATAAATATGGTCCCGCTCAATCCGGTGCTAGAGGGCGTCACAAATGTTACATAGTCATTTGTCATTCATAAAGTTTCTCAGTTACACAAAACATTCGGTTTTAATTCAGTCTGCGAGATTTTTTATGATATTATTTAATAATATATTGTAATGATTAATTTGTTGTTATAATATTAGTATGATCATAAACTCAAAATGATTTTTGATATTCAAAAGTTAATATTAGTGGTCAATATTATATGGTTAATATAATATATTATTCTCTTTTTGTTAAGATTTTGTTAAGTTTTCACTGCAAAGCAATAAATTAAATACATGTACAATCTGTTATTTATCCTGAAAAGAAACGTTTTTTTTACCTCAACAAATTACGAAAGTTTTATGCATTCAAAAACAATCTTACTTCAAAATATTGTTTCTAGATATGAGGTGTGTTTCCATCTGTCTGTGTGTGCCAGTGAAAGTTAGTTTTCTATTGTAGGTACAATGTACTTATAAAATATTATTCTGACATTTCCATTTGTTGTCTGTGAACTAACACATTATTATTATTATTATTATTATTATTATACCCCCGCACAACAAAGTTGCAAAGGGGTATACTGGAATCATCTTGTCCGTCCGGCCGTCGGGTGTCCGGCCGTCGGTTTTTCCTTGTCCGCCTAATAAGTTAAGATTCCTTTGACCCACAGCCTTCATATTTGGCATGGAGGTTAGTCATGATTAGTAGATGATCTCTATTGATTTTGAGGTCACTGGGTTAAATGTCAAGGTCACATGGGCCTTGACTGAAAAAAGCTTGTTAGCTCAATAACTTAAGATTCCTTTGACCTACAGTCTTCATATTTGGCATGTTATTCATGATTAGTAGATGACCCATATTGATTTTGAGGTCACTGGGTCAAAGGTCAAGGTCAGACGGGCCTTGAATAAAAAAAGCTTGTCCTCCAAATAACTTAAGATTCATTTGACCCTCTGTCTTTATATTTGGCATGGAGGTTAGTCATGATTATTAGATAACCCCTAATAATTTTGAGGTCACTGGGTCAAAGGTCAAGGTCACATGGGCCTTCACAAGAATCCTTTGACCCACAGTCTTCATATTTGGTATGGAGGATAGTCATGATTATTAGATGACCCCTATAGATTTTGAGCTCACTGGGTCAAAGGTCAAGGTCACAAGGGCCTTAAGTTCAAAAAGATTTTCCGCTCAATTGCTTAAGAATGATTTGGTCAACAGTTTTCATATTTGGCATTGAGGTTGGTTAGACTAGTAGATGACCCCTATTTATTTTGAAGTCACTAGGTAATAGGTCAAGGTCAGAAGGGCCTTGGCTAAAAAAAGCTTGTCCGCCCAATAACTTAAGAATTATTTTACCCACAGTCTTTATATGTGGCATGGAGGTCAGTCATGACCATAAGATAACCCCTATTAATTTTAAGGTAACTGGGTCCAAGGATAAGGTCACAGGGGCCTTGACTAAAAAAGGCTTGTTCACTAAATTGCTGACGAATGCTTTTGTCAACAGTCTTCATATTTGGTATTGAGGTTGTTAATGACTAGTAGATGACCCTTTTGATTTTTAGGTGACTGTGTCAAAGGTCAAGGTCACAGGGGCTTTTTTACAATAAGCTTGTCTGCTCAAATGCTTAAGAATGCCTGTCCGCAGTGTATTGATTTTCACATTTTCACATTTTAAGCATGTTGAACCTCAGATTTAGCAGAGAGGTTGTCCTTGGGCTCTAAATGGCCACTGTTTATTCTGGCAAAGTGGTATGCGGGGGTATTCAGGCCATGACAGTGGCAGTTATAGTTATTATTATTATTATCATTATTACTATTAAACCAGCTCCAGAAAATAACCATAAAGTTTTAGATGTCATATCCCATATTTAAAAAAAAAACAATGTGCTCAAGTTCAAATATTTATATATATAATTTCGAAACAAAAATAGTTTATCATATTACATTTTAGTTTTAAGGTACACATGTACATTATTATTTTTATGACAGTTTATCTTTTTGTGTTTTCCGAAACAAAATTTCAAAATGATTCTTTGTTATTCCTGAAAGATCTCGTGCTTTCACAACCAGTACAAAGTCAATCAAGATTGCACAAAAGCTTGCAGCCAGACGCTCTTTACTGTCGGTTGATCTGTTTCAATGTTTTTATGTCGAAATGTCCGAATATTCCAACCAAAAAAATATATACAAATTCAACATACTATTATAGTATCAGGGCTGAATGCAAAAAAAAAGTAAATTCACAGGCATTATATGTGTGCTTTGTAAGGAAATTAAACAAGTATTTCTATTTAATATTGCTGATGATTTGTTTTCTTAATGTCAAACGTTTATGAGTGTTTCAACTCAGGTTGTATGGTATTAGTTTTAATAGGGGGCTTTTGTTAACAATACATTAGTAGTTACAAGTATGTATGAGCCGCGTCACGACAAAACCAACATAATGGGTTTGCGACCAGCATGGATCCAGACCAGCCTACGCATCCGGCCCCAGTTGTCAAAAATCCATTCTGTTCGTTACAAAACCTTATAACAAGTTAAAAAAACTTATACCCAAAAGCATGATCCTGGGTCAGACTCCGGAAAGCCAGGTGGGCGATCCTTTTTGGGCGAAAAAGCACTTTTTGGTTTTTGTGACGCGTCATATATTTCTATTTGTGCTTGCCCGTTTCATTAAAAAATACCCGTCAACTTCGAAGAGCAAAATCCCCCTTTTTTTTGGTTTTGAAAAAAAACGAAAATTTTCAATTTTTTTTTGTTGAAGGGGTTTTTTCCCCAGAGAGGGGTTTAAATTTTATTATGAAGTTAATTTAGGATGATTTTTGTATAAAAGGGGACACTTTCCCGAAAGGGCCCCTCTGCTTTGGGAATTTCTGCTAAAAAAATTTTTTCCCGACAGATGTTGGTTTTTTTCTTGTTTTTTTTTGTTTTGTTTTTTTTTTAGAAATGATGATATTTTTTTAATCATTTTTATGGATTTTCAACTAGTCTTTCTATACTTAAATCAAAAAATATTTGTTTAATTTATGGTTTAACTTAACTACTATTTCATAATCAGAACATGTTATTGTACTACGAATAATTTATAGTATAGGAGGTTTTCTGATGGTACATGTAGATCATTTGACCTATTGGTAGAAATGAAAAGTTCGTGCAGGATGCTGTCTATACATGTACCAATCTATTTTAATTTTATTTATTCCCCCGTCCCCCACAACCCTACTTGCCCAATTCATTTTTATTCTGTTACATATTTCAATATATTTTATAAATATATATTTTATTTGCTCATAACCTCACTTCTTTTCCGAAGAAGTTTACCTGTATATTGACATGGAATCGGAAAAAAATGTATATTCTCAATTAAGAAACAATTGGTTAATTTGACATTGTTGAACTTTTAAAGGTAAAAGCACGTTATTGTGTATGTTCAGTGCTTTAAAGTTACAATTGTGCTAAATGCCGTCACAATGACGTTTTAATTAAAGTATTTTCCCCTCATTTTCTTTTCATTTTTTTTTTCATTTACAATGTATCATTTTTGGCCACATAGCATACATATATAAATTATTCTGCCAAGTTGTACCCTTTGAATATTTATTATATTCTGCCTTGCATAAATCAGCTATTGGCGCCACTTTCATAAAGCACATTTGCGTTCTTTATGCCAAATCAGACATTCTCACATTATTAAACCGTCATTATTATGTCATACTTATATATAAATCAAATTACAACACTGTCTTTCTTTTTATTCTTCGTTTCATTTGTTTACCAATCTATAAAGAATACATTGCACTGTTATTTTTATTACACTGTTTTTTCAATTGTAAATTGAAGTTTATTTGAAATAAATCTTTACTTTACTGTTGTTTGCTAGTTTTGTTGCCCCCCCCCCCCCCCAAAAAAAATAAAATAAAACGGTGCATGATACTTATAAACTGCACTCAAAACTTTGTATTTGACAGCCGTCTTTTAGACAGAGTCTGTCCCGTAGCCAGGGTGCATTTTTGTCTGCTTTATTGTTAATGAGATATGGAAAGAAAGATCTGCTACGGAGAATGACGTTCACGAAACGCAACCTCTATATACAACCTCCTTTGTCACAGAATATCAAAAACACCCTCGGTAGGGTACTGGGCAAAGAGTTATTGTGCCGTTATCAGAATGTAATACAATCTCCTTTAATGTCTAATGTAAGTCAATCTGGCAATCATATATGTTACTTAAATCTGGGTGGTTCTACTACTACTACTACTACTACTACTAATAATAATAATGGATTAGTAATCTTTTAGAAAAATATATGCTACATAATTTTGAAACCTGGGCAATTTAATAATAACTGTATTGACTTGTTTGCGCTGAAGCGATGGCCTTATGGTTAAGGTGTCTCCCTCTCATCTCAGGGATCATTCGTTCGAGCTCTACTGGGGAAAATATGACACTGTACCGGGTATAGTGCCCGGAAACGGACTCAGTTTAAATAAGCTTCAGGCTATCGCCATAATCTGATTTAAACTGAGTATTCATTCTTTTCAGAAAAGAACAAAGTTTTCGTTATTAAAGAACAAAAAAAAAGAATTATTATAGATAGTAAAGTATCAATTTAACGACGTAACTGCTAGCGAAAAAAGAGAATTTGTTGGGGGTTTACACAAAAAAATTTGGGCAAATTTGGGGGTTTAAAAGTGGAAAGAACAAAAATTTGCAAAGGAAATTTTAATTTTAAACTGGAAATAGACAAACTTTAAAACCAAACATCATTTTCCATAAACACCTCTCACCTCCTACATTTTTATTGGGGTTTCAAAAAATTTTAAAATCATTTAAATTTTTTAGTAAATTTAAAAACAAAGCGCCCAAGGGCGAATATTTAAAAATCCAGCTTTTAAAAAATTCGAGTAGCAATATGGAAAAAAACAAAATGCTTTATTTAAGTAGAAGGGTCAATGGTATATTATTCATGCTGTATTGTTAAGCTTGCATGGTGTCGCAACTGGTATGACCTGTGTTTTCTTTTTTATAACAAGCAATATGTTACTGATCGTGTAAAAGTGTTGATTAGAATAAAATTCAAATACATGTATACAATTAAAACATAAATTTACATTATCATGCAGTGGCGGATTCAGGCCCGGGCTTCAGGGCTGCAGCCCCCCCCCCCCCCCCCCCAGCGTGTCCCTAAGATATGTTTACCAGCTGGGCTGGATCATACTTTTTGGCAGTTTCAAACTGTATTGGCTGTAGTGTACTCCCTTATCAAAACAGTTGTTAATCTCTTGCCTGGGGGTGGGGCTTGGCAGAGATCTTTATCTATCAACATGCTTGACTGACTTTAATGTTTAAACTGCATAATTGATTGGTTAATTACTTTACAAAGGTCTAATGAAATAAATAGTCGCAGATAGTGGCAAATATATAAAGTACACCATATTAAACTATCTTTTTTTCCATTTTCTTAAGGAAAGTCCTATAATAAATAAATTGAAAATTATTATTTGTAAATTAAAAAGATGGCGAGTTCCATGAAGATAATATTAAAGGAATCGCATTTTAATAACTAAGAAATTAACTAACTTAGATTTTTATCAAGATGAAAAGATTGGTCATTTGCTTTTAGTAACTTTTTATGACAGTTATATTTTTTAAATTTAAATTGTACTGACCTCTGGATTCATTGATGGAAAAAATCTTATTGAATATTAGTGTTTGAAATTATGTTTTTGCACAATAGAAAGGCAGTATTTTAATACCACTTTACTTTGGAAAATCGTCTATTATTCATATGAGAAAATTGATCAAGTGTTTGAAATTATTTTTTTCAACGGTCGCGCATACAATGCTTACTACTAAACACCAGGGGAATTCTATTTGAAAGACCTTGCATACAAAATATATGCAGTGTGATGTAATAAAACACATCAAATAGCAATTTTTGATGCTGGCCCGATCTTCAAACAAAAGTGCACAATTTTTCGCCTGTTGCGTTATTTTTATAAAAATATTCCACCCATATTCAACCCCCAAGGAAACCAAGTTCTGTATCCGCCCCTGTTATGTTTCTATATCTTTGTGGCCTTGGTGAAAAGTATAAAAAAAAATGAAAAAAAAAATTCAAACTCTCCGTATGACCGGATACCAGGTTCTAGCTTTGGGAGATGATTCGCTAGATAAGATATTTACATAGTCACGGTGACGAAGAAGGAAGTTTTAAACATTTAAGGACAAACCAGTAAAAATGCAGATTTAAGCAATGACAATCATGTAAATGATGAAATAAGAGGACAGATTAACCTTTCATTGCTGATTTCCATGGTTTATGCAATGAATATACATTTGCCACTGAAATTGATTGGAATAAACATATTTGAAACATTTTTTACTCGTGCAATTAGTCCTACCTATATGTAACATGGAGTTCGTGAAAAAAAATTTCATTGAAAACAACCTAACCATACCAAAACTGCTGGTGTTCTCCGCAGTTGCTTATGTTGTCTATCTTTTAGTTAAGTTTGTGCTTTATTTACATGAATTAAAGAGAGTATTCCGTGATGTGCCAGGACCGGAGAAACATTGGTTGTACGGAAATCTTCACTTGGTATGTATTTTGTTAAAATCCTTATAATCATTTTTCACCACTGTTAGTCCAATATATCAGATGGCTTGTTATACATGTATTTAAGATGGCGGGATAGCCTATAGTCAGTATAAGACCACTGGCTGTCACTCCTCAGGTTCCGGGTTCGATCCTGGGTAACACCATTGGGATTTTTCAGAGACACTTTCAGTGTTTTCCCCACCTAATGAGAGGTCTACTGGGAAAAACATAATCTTCCCAAAGTAGGGGCTATACACTGGGGAAAGAAAAAAACCAAGGGGGTCTTTTTAATAAGTCACAGGGGCTGATTCCAATTCCCCCTTTTATCTCATAGCTTCCCCTGAAGGGTGGTCTAGGGGGCATTGTATTCCCTGAAAGGTTTTACATTTAAAGGGAAATAAAATTTATAGTTAATGGGTTTTTAAAAAGGAAAAAAAATCTTTAAAAAACCCTCATATGTTTCAAAATATATAGGCCCAATTTTTACATTGCTTTAAACTTTCAATCTTATTTCTTTAAAAAATTTACTAAGTTCAAAATATGCAAAGGGAAAAATTTATTTTTCACCAGAAATAACAACCTATAAAAAATCTTTTCCCAAAATTTAAATTTTCCTTTTAAAAACATGCAGAGTTCAAAAAAGTGTGAGCATACACCAGCTTTTTTACTTTCCAAATTAGCAATTTCAGCAATAATTCTCCCAAATCAAGAGGGCTATAGCCTCTTCTAGTCTTAATAAAATTGAGGGGCAACCAATGTTCATATAATAAAAACGCCCTGGCGCACAATTTGTTGGGCTGGGGCCTGTTCCATATTAAGTGGGAAAAAAAACATTGAAAGATAACAAGTGCATGAGAACAATGTTCACTTGACGCAGCCCTCAAAAAATACACATCCACTCAGGACCACCTGATACATAATGTAACTATGCAAAGACAGACTCTGGCTAGTTACCATCAAATTTGTGCATTAATGAGAACAAATTATAATTATACCCCCAAAAACGAAGTTAGGGGGGGTATATAGGAGTCACCCCGTGGTCGGTTGGTCAGTTGGTTGGTTGGTCGGTCCAGAAGTCCGTTGCATTTTCCTTGTCCGAGCATAACTTGAAGACTAATGGTTGGAATTCAATATAACTACATACAATGGTCAAGCACATTGAGAGGAAGTGCAGTGCACAAGAACCATAACTCTATCTTGACTAATTACAGAGTTATTGCCCTTTGTTACTTTTCCTTGTCCAGAGCATAACTTGAAAAACTACTGGTTGGAATTAAAAACAACTTCATACAATTGTCAAACACAATAAGGGGAAGTGCAGTGCACAAGAACCATAACTCTATCTAAAGTAATTACAGAGTTATTGCCCTTTGTTACTTTTCCATTGCTTTCTTTTGTCCGGGCCATAACTTGAAGACTAATGGTTGGAATTCATTAAACTTCATACAATGGTCAAGCACATTGAGAGGAAGTGCAGTGCATGAGAACCATAACTCTATCATGACTAATTACAGAGTTATTGCCCTTTGTTACTTTTCCTTGTCCAGAGCATGACATGAAAACTACTGGTTGGAATTCAAAACAAACTTCATACAATGGTCAAGCACAATAAGGGGAAGTGCAGTGCACAAGAACCATAACTCCATCTTGACTAATTACAGAGTTATTGCCCTTTGTTACTTTTCCATTGCTTTTTTTGTCCCGAGCATAACTTGAAGACTAATGGTTGGAATTCAATATAACTTGATACAATGGTCAAGCACATTGAGAGGAAGCGCAGTGCACAAGAGCCATAACTCCATTTTGACTAATTACAGAGTTATTGCCCTTTGTTACTTTTCCTTGTCCAGAGCATAACTTGAAAACTACTGTTTGGAATTCAATACATACAACTTCATACAGTTGTCAAGGACATTAAAAGGAAGTGCAGTGCACAAGATCCATAACTCCATTTTGACAAAATACAGAGTTACTGCACTTTGATACATTTCCTTGTCCGGTGCATAACTTAAAAGGTACTGGTTGGAATTCAAAACAACTTCATACAATGGTCAAGCACAATAATAGGAAGTGCAGTGCTATAACTCCATCTTCAGTATTTATAGGGTTATTGCCCTTTGTTCCTTTTCCTTGTCTTTCTGGACTTATTACAGAGTAATTCAATAAAATTTCATCAATGGCCAACCACATTGAAAGGAAATGCAACATACAAGAACCACAACTATCTTTAATTGCCCACAACCATAACTCTATATTTCAATTCTTTTTCAAGGTATTCTGTTACTACTAACATCCTCATTTCCGAAGGAGTCTTGTGGGGGTATTAATCACATTTAGTGATAGTTCTATTTTTTTCTGTCTTGATAGAAATCAGCGTTTGAAAAACAATACTGCAACCAGCTGTGAAGTTTCGGCACACTCAATAAGCTTTTTTTCACCGGTGTCTTTGATAAACTAATTCCAGATTCAAGGTTTGGACAGTGATGAACAACTAAAGTTAGATCTAGAATCATGCAACACTTTTGTACGCTATTATGCATGGTGGACATCATTTGGGAAAGTACACATCACAGGCTGTCATCCAGATATTGCCAGAATGTTTGCAAAAACTTCAGGTTAGTAGCTCTATACAGAAAAAGTAAAAAACAATCCATGGATAATTATCCTGATATTTTCAGCTTCCGGGCAACAGTCATGACCGAATTATGTTTGGACTGAGTAACTGTAATATCTACAAACGATACTACGTTTGGTGGACGACTTTCGTTAAACCGTCTTTGAGTGTGTGCCATCCAGATACCGTCAAAATGATCATGAAAACCTCGGGTAAGTACTAGCGAGATGCTTTGTATGATTCGGGAAAGGAAAAGTAATAGCGATGTATTTGGAGTTTGGATTTATATCTAAATATAGTAACCGGATGTTGCTCAAAACTTTATCAATAGTTTGATATTGTTATACGGGTCTTGGCAATTCAGCAATTTTAAAACTTACATACAGCTACATTTGTTAAATTTCATATGAGGAAGTCTTTGCAGTCCCCGAGCTTTGGCTTGCCTGGCTCTAGTCTAGACTTAAATGTGTATTATATCTAAATAGGAATCAAATAAAAATCAATTAAAAAATGCAAAGATTTCTATACCTTTCAGTAGAATTTTCAATGTCATCTCTAGTTGGATGCGGCTATTTTTAATATAACTGAATGATAATTGGTGGAAATTTCAGATAAGGGAACAATAACAACTCTTCTGCTCAAGAATGATCATCAGTGTGTTCGATTGAAACCAGAAACAGTGCATGAAACACAAAATGAAAACTTTAAAACAAAAAACGTAAAATGGAAAATGAACAAAATTTTTTTTTCATCCGACTTCCCTATACTTAGGCTTTGTGACGTTTGTCTTCTTTTATATTAGTCTTACAATGTAAATGATAAATGGTCTTATTTAACAGGGTAATGGCTAATAAAGAACTCTAAATACCTGAGATGCAGATTTATTCATAATTGGATAAAGTTTTGTGCTTGAAATAGTCTTGCTTGAAACTACTGCATGGAACATTTATTTCTTACAGCTTTCTTAAAATGCTTTTTATTTCAAGGAACTCCACGGAGGTCCAAAAACTAAAAATTTGATTTTCTTTCATAGATCAACTAGGGCATTTAAAATAGAAAGATATTCAAAAGATGATTAAGAAATATACTCAGAAATTAATCGAAAATCATATTATTGTGCTAAGATTTGAGTGAAAAGCATTGCAACACTTCAATTTTGGGTCATTTTTCACAATTATTACAATTGTCCTGGAAAAACTGAGTGAGCGAAGGATCTGAAATTTTGCACACAAGCTATTGGTCTAGACTTTAATCAAATGGAACATTTATATTGAAAAATTATTCCCAATCCTCTCATATGAAAAAACCTCAGTGGAGTCGCTTTAAAAGCTAGATATTTAGTTTGAACACATTGTATTACACATGTACCTAGTGGCTTATAAAAATAACGAATTCAGCCAATAAATTTTGGAAAATTAAGATGTTCTTTTTGTCATAATTATTCTTGGAACAAGCAAAATTTTAAAAAAATAATAAATTCCAATAAACAGTTTTCATTCTGTCAATATTAGTTGTCTATGCTGACTGGCCTTGGTCAAAATTTTATTTGCATTGCTTGCTTCAATGTTTATTTGTATGTCTTCTCAAATCTATTTTGTCATTATGCTGTATTGACAATTTCAGTCATTTGTTCTATTGTATGAGATTCCTTGTAGATTATATTAAAGCTGCATGCCTCCAGATAAGCCAAAATATTTCAATAAAATCAAACCAGAGTAAAAAGTACCGTAATAAGATTTAGAAAAGATTTTAAGTAATAATTTACATGTTATGTGCCATTTGTGACTGATTTTTTCATTATTTAAAACCATATTTCTACTGACTGTTACTGAAGCAGTAAAGGTTATTTTGAATATTGTGGCCTCATTTTGTTAATTTACTTGGGTTGTGAGTGCTCCATGTAATGTGTAACTTGCTTACTTTGGTTACTTCACACTATTTTACTTTTAAATATACATTTTCAAAATTTTCATGAAAATTATCATGAATCTGGAGGCATGCTGCTTTACATGAAATGCATGTCAAGGTCATTTTTTATAAGTATTATGTAGTTTAGTATGAAATGATAAAAATCTTGATCTTTAGATTTATTTTATAAATTGAAAGAATGATTTAAATTGATTATATGAAATTATTAAATTATAGAAGATTTGATTTTTGTTAGGTCATAATTAGCACCCTAATGCATTACCTCCGCGTTGAAGAGTATTCAAATAGGCTAGAATTACTGTTAACTACATTGAAAATGAGGGCCATGGGTTCAATCCCCAGAAGGGTCAACTTTTTTTTTTTCTTTCTTTTTTTCCTTTAACATTATTTATGTATCTCTCATGTCCCATATGGAAAGAAAAAAGTGTTTAATTTTGAATTTTTAATTTATATAGGTATTTATTGGCTGAATTATGCTAAATCTAGTAATAAATATGGTACCTGATATTTTCAAAGTGTAATATAATCAAAACTAGACGGTAAAAGTATTTCATATTTTACAAGATCAACCAATATACTTTTTAAAAAATTTAGGGAAACTTTGAAAACAGGCACTCATTTGGGTAAATTTTAAGAATTTTTTGAATTAGGCTCACTTAGTAGAAAAATGGTCAGACATGTGGTAAAAATGGGTGGGGTAGGGCAACATTTTTATACAGATTTCATAAATTTTAAGTAGAAACCATAATTTTGCTTATGTGGATTGTTAGCTGAATGGTACTATTTGTTTCTTACCAAAAATTCATGGGAAAACATTTTTCATTAGAATGTTATTGCAGATTATTTAAAGGTTCCTCATTTCTAAAAAAGGGCCCTCATAACATCCTAGCTTGAGTTCAGAAAAGTGGCCATAACTTGATTTCCGTACGGTAAACTTTGTTTAAATTTTGCATACAGGCGTACTTTAAGGTATACATCTGACCTATGATGTCATTTCTTTAGTTCCTGATAGTGCCCATTAGGGTCCTAATACCTTACAACAATATAATACTGCACATTTGTAACATCGCTTTTCATTGGATAATTGTGATGTTTATATAATCTTTATACACTACTGCTGTCAAGTTTTGAGATAATTTCATTTTTCTCTCTAAAAAAAAATTTTGACGGGTTATATGGCCATAATTATATAAACATTATTTGCAATATAACCCTTGCCTGTACAAACAATCTTTTATATAGAGCCATTTAATCTGTCATAAATCTATTACTAATATTTTATTGTATATTACAGAACCTAAACCGATCGGCTTTATGGGAATATACCGGCTAGGTTTGCCATGGTTAGGGGAAGGTTTGCTCATAGCAGGTGGTAAGAAATGGGCGCGAGCCCGTCGACTTCTGACGCCAGCATTCCATTTTGACATTTTAAAGCCATACATGTCCATATATAATGATGCTGCAGATTTACTTGTGGTAATTATCAATGTTTTATAACTGAAATATTAGAAAATATGAAATATATTTCATCTTTGTTTTAAATATCAGTTATTGATATTGATGAAATATAGAATATATTTTATTTATGATTGTGATAACTATTTGTTATTTACTGATGAAATATAATCTATATTTCATTTATATGAAAATAGTAAATTATTTACAGGTGAAATATGGAATACCTGTATATCTCATTTGTGCAAAAAAAAATTCGACGAAATACATAGAATTTATCTCATTTTATGGGTTATTTTATGGCTTTATAAATAAGAATTAAATATACAGTGTATGTCATTTGTGTGGTTTTTATCAATGATTTGTAATATATATCACTCGCGTGGTTATATATACATGTGGTATATCAGTCAGGGCCAAAAAACCCTTCTTTGTAGAGGCCGAATATAGGCTGCTTCCCCAACCAAACTAGCCTCTTTTTTCCCCAGTCCTCAAAATTCCCCAGTCTTTTGTAATTTCCCATATAATTTTATTTTAGAACAAAATTAAATGATGGTGTTGAATTAAGGTCTTTTACTGCCATATTAGTGTTACCCAGTGCTTTTTGCTTTTCTATTTTAAAGAACTTACTTTTCCCAAAGTATGCTAAAATCACGCATATTTTCCCCAAGAAAAAGGCTAAGGCCCCTTCCCCAAATATGGTGTTTTGGCCCTGTCAGTTATCAACACATGCATTTGAAATATGTAATATATCTAATTCAAGTTATTCAGTAATAATTTATTGATAAATATTTGAATTAATTATACTTCTCGTCTGTCTAAAATGATGAATTAAATTACCGAATGTCATTTAAGGGGAAACAACTGTTTGATTATTATAGCTAAGTTATTCAGTGATTACCTCCCTTAACACATAAAGTACTTAATTCTCACTGTAAAATGGGTTAAAAGAGAGTACTATTAAATCGCTGATGGAGGAAGACCTAAGATGCCATCTGTGCATTATTCAGGCAAGAACCAGCAACTGAATAGAATCACCAAACTTTTTGTACGCACCTCACATGAAAGAATTTAAAGTCCTTGTCGAGATTCGAACCCACAATAGCAAAAGACAAGTAGTCTGAAGTTAGGGACCTTAACCACTTGGCCATGGACACCCCACTCATATGATGTGATTCTATATTTAACTTCAGGGAAACTTAGAAAGATACATGGAGAAAAAGGAGAGATTTGAAGTATTTGACTACATCAGTCGCGCCACGTTAGATGTTATCATGAGATGCGCATTCTCCTACCAAACTGACTGCCAGAAAGACAAAGGGTACCTATTTTGTTACCACATTTGTCTATCCTAATTACTGATGCAGAGGGGGGCGTCCGTGGCCGAGTGGTTAAGGTTGTTGACTTCAAACCACTTGCCCCTCACTTTGGATTCTTTCATGTGAGGAAGCTATCCAGCTAGCTTATGGAACGTCGGTGGTTCTACTCAGGTGCTCATTTGTGCCTGAAATAATGCACGGAATGGCACCTGAGGTCTTCCTGCACCAGTAAAGCTGGAACGTCACGATATGACCTATACTGTGTCGATGTGACGTAAAACCCAAAACAAACAAACAAAAACAAATAATGATGCAGACACAGTTTCACAAATTTATTTTGATTGCACCCTAAGGCCAGCTGTGTTGGTTGCACATAAGGCCAGATGAAATTATTTTTCACATTTTCTTGACAGTATTCTTTATGCAGGCTTTTGATGCTGACCAATAGGTAGAGGTTAGGGTGATATAGTCGCCACTTTCTCATTTCATCTGTCCATCGTTCCGTTTGTTGCGAAATTAATAGAGAGCCAGGTAACTGTAAACAGATCAGTTTAAATTGATAGGCCAAGAAAGCATGAAATTTTGCTAATGGCCATTGACAAATATGCAGGTTTCGGGAGTTTCCATCGCTTAAACATTTTAACAATATGTCTTGCTTAAAGCATTAATGTAACTTCTATCTCTGTTGCCCAAATAAGTGTATCTCATTATATGACTTTATATTTTTTGTAGAACAAGACATCCGTATGTACAAGCAGTAGAGGAAATAGCCGATGCGTGGAATTATAGAGCTCGGAAACCCTGGCTGTATCCAGATTGGCTGTATTATATGACGAGGCACGGAAAACAGTTCCGGAAAAACTGCGACTATGTACATACTGTTGCTGAAGATGTCATTAAACAAAGAAAAGAAGCATTGGTAGGTTAATATATTAATATGGTATCAAATAATCTTTGTTGATCAAATGTACTGAATCAAAAGTAATGTTTGTGGATCAAATGTACAAGCTTAAATAAAGTTTGTGGATCAAATGTTCCGGGTTAAGTAATGTTTGTGGATCAAATGTACCAGCTTAAGTAAGGTTTTATGGATCAAATGTACGAGCTTAAGTAAGTTTTGTGGATCAAATGTACAAGCTTAAGTAATGTTGATGGATGAAATGTACGAGCTTAAGTAAGGTTTGTGGATCAAATGTACGAGCTTAAGTAAGGTTTGTGAATCAAATGTACAAGCTTAAGTAAGGTTTGTGGATCAAATGTACGAGCTTAAGTAATGTTGATGGATCAAATGTACAAGCTTAAGTAAGGTTTGTGGATCAAATGTACGAGCTTAAATAAGGTTTGTGGATCAAATGTACAAGCTTAAGTAAGGTTTGTGGATCAAATGTACAAGCTTAAGTAATGTTGATGGATCAAATGTACAAGCTTAAGTAAGCTTTGTGGATCAAATGTACGAGCTTAAGTAAGGTTTGTGGATCAAATGTACAAGCTTAAGTAATGTTTGTGGATCAAATGTATGAGCCTAAGTAATGTTTGTGGATCAAATGTATGAGCCTAAGTAAGGTTTGTGGATCAAATATACAAGCTTAAGTCATATTTGTTGATCAAATGTACAAGCTTAAGTAAGGTTTGTGGATCAAATGTACAAGCTTAAGTCATATTTGTTGATCAAATGTACAAGCTTAAGTAAGATTTGTGGATCAAAGTACAAGCTTAAGTCATATTTGTTGATCAAATGCACTAATCAAATTTTCTTTGTTGATCAATTGCATTGAATCAAATGACTTTTGTAGATCACATTTTCTTTACTCAACACATGAATAAAAAATCACATCTTGTTATCACTTGTTTTAGGACAGGAGTGGGAATTCTGATAGAAAATACCTAGATTTTCTGGATATACTTCTTACTGCAAAAGATGAAAATGGTCAGGGCCTTACTCCTTTGGAGATTAGGAATGAAGTGGACACATTTATGTTTGAAGGTAGATTCTCTTTATTTATAGTACAGTAAAATCTCAACAGAGTGAGCATCAATTTAGCAATAACCTCTTTATAACAACAGCAGTTTCAGTTATTACTAGAAGTAAGACATCACAATAAATTTATCCTCTCCAGAGCATCTGCCTCTCTTCAACAAAAAAAATGTTGTACATCCCTTAAGATTAGTGAAGATGTTGCCCAGTATTACATTATAGTGTAATACAAATTTTTATATATCCATAAGTGCTTGCATTACAGTCCAATATAGGATTATTTTCTGTATTAGATGCTGCTGGATACAATATGTCTTATATTAGATGATTGAAGGCATATTACAAGTTTCTTTTATCCTTATCGATAAAAGTCATAATGTTGTAATTTAGTTGAGCACTTTGAAATCTAAGGATAGAATAATTCAAATATTTATCCATATTTTTGAGAGCTCATATTGCAATTTTTTTACACCTTAGTGTGATATGTATAGTATTTTCACTTAAAAACAGACATATGTAGCCAATTGGTTATGGTCATTGTCGTCAAACCATTTGCCCATCACAGCTGTGATTTCGAATCCAGACAGGGACTTTGGATGTTTTCATGTGAGGAAGCTATTAAACCTGCTAATGGAATGTCAGTGGTTCTACTCAGGTGCCCATTAGTGCCTGAAATAATGCACGTAAGAGCGCCTGAGATCTTCCTCCACCAGTATAACTGGAAAGTCGCCATATGTTTTGTACTGTGTTGCTGTGACATGAAACACAGCCAAAGAAAATAAATAAAAATTAAACAAACATAATTATAAAATTATAATCTATCTTATTATAAACTTCAGGTCATGATACTACAGCAAGTGCTATATCTTGGATCCTGTACTCTCTTGCCAAGTACCCGGAATATCAGAAAAAATGTCAGGAAGAAATCGATGAATTGTTACAGGGCCGGGACACGGACGATATAGAGTGGTATGGTCATTTCTTATATACAGCCATCTTTCTGCTTGGCCCTTACTTCTTCGGGTTCAAGCCCTTTCAGGAACATTTAATTTCTATTATTTTAATATGTAAAAAAAGAAGTAAAGCAGCAAGCTTACAATGTCAGTGGTGTCGCTCAGGTTTCTACTTATGTATCTGTAATATATGTTGATTCAATTGTCATAAAGTTACCAAAATTTAAAAAAAAAATGTAAAAAAAATATTTTGAAGATGCTATAGTAAGGAAAAAAGATCAAAATAATCATTTTCAAGACAAAGTAGTGTGACGTAATTTTTTCTGACTAATTTTTTGTTATTATTCTGCAATTAAGCAATAAAATTTGTTTTATCCATAATCAACCGTTTGCCTGCTGGTGGCAACTGAATCTACCCATGTGACTAGTGCTGACTAAGATCAACCAGGGCACATCCCTGCCATCTGATCATGGTCTACACTGTTTGCTATCCAGGCAGTACTTATTTTGAAATTTTCACCAATAAAAAATGACAAATGAAAGATGGACAAGTCCATTTAAGATGTTTAGCAATGGTAAAGGGTTTAATTTGTATTTGTTGATTAAAACTGTAAATGTTCTTATTATTTTAAAGGTCAGATATACCTAAGTTAGAGTATCTTACAATGTGTATAAAGGAAGGAATGAGAGATCATAGTCCTGTGCCATTTATACAACGAGAATTTACTCATGATTTTGAAATCGATGGAAAGACTTTTCCAGGTATGTTAATAAATTCAAATACTAGTAAATAATAATTTATTCCTTAGTTCACTGGCTGTAACAGAAACTACCCATGCAACCAGTGCCGATCAAGATCTATTGTTTAAATAATTTGCATTGTTTGCTACTCATTCAGTTCTTCTTATAAAATTGTCCCAAAATAATGATGAATGGTTTTGTCCACATGGAAAAATTTATAATGATCAGCATTGTTTGCTACTCGTTTAGTGCTTCTTTTGAAATTGTCCGTAAATAATGATGAATGCATTTGTCCAGATTGAAAGATGAACAAGGCCTTAAAGCATCTTAATGGTTAAATGAAAAATTTATTTTTATTTATGTTTGTTAGTAAAACTGTATTGACTCATTTACAGTGGAACCTGTCTTATCCGAACTTATCCGGACCAGAAGAAAAGTTCGGATTAGGTTTCCTGACCAGAAGGTTAATTTTAGAGTAAAATAAGAACAAAAATTGAAAATGTCGTTCGGAATTCGGAGTAAACAGGTTCCAGATCCGAAAGGTTTTTTTACTATTGAAAATAGAACAAATAAAATCGGGACCGGACACTTCGTTCGGATAAAAAAGGATTCCGGATTAGAAGGGTTCGGATAAGCAAGGCTCCACTGTATAAGACAGAATTTTCCACTTCAATTTAGTGGGCTGCACTTTACCCTGTGTCTTATATGTGGATCATAACAGTCCATGGAAACAGTGCAACTTTCAATAAAATTTTATATTTCTGTTACCATATTCTAAGATCATGCAAATTTTAAATAAATCCTGTAAAATTACATTACACTTCATACTGCCGATATGTCTATATTTAACTTCTAGCAAACATCTTTAAGCAGAATTAAAACATAATACGTTACATTATTTCATGTATTATATTACAGCTGGTACAACAGTGTCATTACATATATTTGGTCTCCATCACAATAAAAATGTCTGGGAAAACCCGATGGAGTTCATACCTGAACGATTTTCCAAAGAAAATATAGCTAAGATGGACACATTCCAATTTGTGCCTTTTTCTGCAGGACCAAGGTTTGTTTATATCTTTTATCTTGATGTTATGTGTTTGACTTTTATAAAGTGTGCTTCATTTATGGTAAATATTTGTAATTTTGGGCCTTCATTGCTGAGGTTGATGTGGCTTACTTAAGATTTTCAGACTCAAAATTTGTATCTGTAGTCCAGCCTGGCTGAAGTTGAGGTATCAGTTTTAAGATCACATGAGTCACATGGTTGGGTGGTTAATGCATCAGACTTGTAATATAAGGATTGCTGGTCCAATGGGTTTATACCCCTTGAAGGGCTAAGCTGTTGTTTGCTTTAATAAGAAACTTCATACTCATTGCTTAGTACTAGTTGGTTCTAGGAATGAATTTGTTAAGTTTCTATTTAAGCATATAGCTTCCTGCACAACTAAAATAAATTCTATTTAAACTAAGATCAAATGACATACTTCTCACCAATGTAGATTCAGAACATTTTAGTGAATAGGATGTTCAACATTTTCTTTTGAGGGAACAGTTAAGCCAGCTAATGTAGTAAGGTACTAGTGGTTGTTCCTGCTCATGCCAGAAGCAGTGAGAAGCAGGAGGTCACTTTGGGTCTTCCTCTGCCATCTCATTCATTTTACTCAAAAGCCAAAACAATTTGTAACAATAATGATAACTTTCATATAAGTATGTTTGTTCTTATTTCAAATGTTATCCCCTTTGTTAGATTAATAAATAATATATGTTTATATTTTGTCATAAATTACTAAGATATTATTATTTTTCTAATGAAATAATCAAGATATTGTCATTGCTGGTATTATTAACCAAACCTACCATCTATTGATATAACCAAGGTTGTGCCACCTTCATTGCATTTATATGAATAATCAAAGTATTACCATTTTTAGCTCGACGATTTGATAAGAATAAGTAGAGCTATCCTAGTCACCCGAGCGTCGGCATCGGCGTAACCACTTTGTTTAAAGTTTGTTTTTTTTTTAACTTTTTTTTAAACTTTGCACACTTGTTAACCATCTTGATCCCAACCTGTAGACAGGAGGAGGTAACTCTATCAACCATTTTGAGAGAATTATGCCTGTTTTTCAACTTAGAAAACACTTCAAATATTTTCAAAGTCCATTGACATATGGCTTTAAAACTTTGCACACTTGTTCATCATCATGCCCCAATCTTGTAGACAGGAGGAGGTAACTCAATCAAGCATTTTGACAGAATTAAGCCCCCTTTTTTATTTAGAATTTATGTAATAGTTTGCGAACCACCTCAGATATTTTCATACTTCATAGATATCTTGCTTTGAAACAAGTTGAATTTTTGTACACTTCTTTTAGAGCATAATAGGACACTCTCCAAGACCTATAACTGATTGTAACATGGATTTGAAAAAAAAATTGGCCCTTTTGGGAACTTACAAAATTTTACATAATCAAGGCTCTTTTACTACCAAGCACTAAGAATAGTCGAGCATGGTATCCTACTGACAGCTCTTGTTAATATTATAAACAAAGGTATTGCCATAATTTGATATGGTAATAATATTCCAATATTGCTATGTTTCATTATACATCATATTATCAATGTATAGCCATATATATGAGTGTACCACCAACTTATTGCCATATTTCCATGTATTAAGCATTCATAATAATGCCATATTTGCAGGAATTGTATTGGCCAGCATTTTGCCATGAATGAAGAGAAAGTGATCATCAGTAAATTGTTAAGAAGGTAATTAATGTCCTGAACAAGGTTTTATTCATTACTGCAAAATCATTTTTATTCTACGGTCACTTTTTTTCCATGGTTTTCATGGATAGGTCAATCCACAAATTTAAAATCCAAAGAAATTTTATTTTGTTGGTTGTAAGATTACATGTATTTTTTGTATTTCATAGTTTGCATTTTTTTTCTTCAAAAACCAAACAAATTTACAAAATTTTAACAAATTTAAAAATCCACAAATGCCCTTTTTTGACAAAACCATGAAATTATATGCCCATGAAGTTAAGTGAATTCACAGTTTTAGTTTTAGTCACTTTATCAGAGAATTTTGTCAGTGAATGAAAGTGTATTGGTGCAAACAGGTTCTTGATAAATATTAATTTTAGCAGATCTTTCTTTGACCGAGTGATTCATGTCACTTACTAGCCCCTCTTTGATATGATTGTGATTTATTTCTGATTTAGATTTTAAATTAAATTCAAAGAAACAATTCAGCCATGGTCAAATACCCATGGCCGAACTATAAACATTGATCAGCTATGTGTTATGTTACATGTTAAACAACCGTGGGTATCCAATGATGCAATTCATCTAGCTACAAGTCTGTGTTTCTGTCTGTGGTGACTGCATGTGCTTTAGGTTTGTTTGTTTGTTTGATTGGGTTTTGCGTCACACCGACACAGTATACATGTAGGTCATTTGGCGACGTTCCAGCTTTACTGGTGGAGGAAGACCTCAGGTGTCATTCAGTGCATTATTTCAGGCACGAACGGGCACCCGAGTAGAACCACCGACGTTAGGTACTGCAAAAAAGAGTTAAAGGTACCTTCATCGGGATGGTAATACCTTTCATACATCTTGTTCTTTCAGGTATTGGTTTGAATTGGATGAGACGCATTCAGTCAGGCGGAAAATAGGCGCAGTGATGCGGGCCGAGAACGGCATTTATCTTTATGTTAGACCACGAGACTTGTGATATAACAGCTTATAAGCCAAGACAGTTACTTGTACTGTTAAATAATCGGTTTAAAGCTATAAAAGGTTGTCTGTTACTGGAAGATTATTTGTTTGTATTGTATTGAAATTTTTAACCCTGACCACCCTAAATATCTTAAATGGACTTGTCCATTTTTCCATCTGGACAAAACCATTTATTCAGTTTAAGGAAAACTTCAAAATTTGTGTGGGCTGAATAGCGAACAGTGCAGACCATGATCAGATTGCACAGATGTGACAGCTATTCTTGGTCGGCACCGTTTGCATGTGTAGATTTGGAATTTAAAAAAAAATGCCTTCCAAAGTCTCAGTATGTGTATGAATTTATTGCCAAATTCATTTGAAATGGAGGATGGTACCTTTGAATTTTGATCAAGTTAACATGTGACTTTTATATGCTTTCAATAATGCATATTTTTGTTAGAGAATGTTTTATTTGGATAACTTACAATTTACATCATGGTTAAAAAGAAAAGAGACTTTTTATGTGAACTCTTTTGAGAAACAAGGACAAGAGAGTTAAAGGAACTCCACTGAGGTCCAAATGCCCAGCAAAATGAAATTTGTATTTCTTACACAGATCAGCCGGGGAACTAAATACAAAAAGATATGCAAAAGATTATAAGAAATATACTGAAAAATAAATTGAAAATCGTTTTTTGTGCTATTCATAGCCATATTTGAGTGAGAAGCATTGCAAGGCTAATCAATTTTGGGTGATTTTTCACAATTAAAATAATTATGCTGGGAAAACAAAATGAGAAAATTATCTGAAATTTTGTACACAAGTTATTGGTCCAGACCTATGCAAAATTATTTTCAGTCCCGTCATGACAAGAAACTTCAGTGGAGTCCCTTTAACCAAAAACAACATAAGGTTGACAGTTTTCTGAAATTTAGGTTGTAGTTTTCACCAATTATAGATTTAGATCAAGGTCCAAGGGACATGTGATGAAACTGGTCTGCATACCAAAATTTATATTCTGTGATACTTGATGTTGTAATATGCAATTTATAAGTATTTAAAGTTCATTTTATAATACCTCAAATAATACTGGAGGAATGCATGTTGAATAAGCTCAGAGTATGTGTGTTCTTTTGAATATTTTGTATTTTTGAATATTTAAGAAAGAAGTATATTTTTTAAGAAAATAGTGTATTTTGAATATAATGTATTTTGTATTTCTGGATATTTAAGAAAGTAGTTTATTTTTGAATATCTAAAAAGGAATGTATTTTTAAATATTTTTGTATTTTTTTTAAATATTTACGAAAAGACAGGAGATTTCTTTGGTTAAAATAAAGGCTGAATGTAACTCCTTTTCTTAGTGACAGAACTATGGACAAAATTGCTGATTAATTAAAAAAAATCCCCGAAATTAGGAAGATTTTCTCTAAAAAAAATTCAACTGTTTAGGCAAATATGACTTTTTATGAAGATGACTATTTATAAATTTAAATCCTAATCTGACAAGGTTATTGTCACATGATTGATAATCATTAGCTGGTGAGAAGAAACAAAACGTTTAAAATTAGATTTATTCCATGGTTTTAGACCTACACATGTATTTGTTTGTTATGATTTGCTATCAAAATATGTACATAATATTCATAACGGTCTCATTTTTCATGATTATACAGAAAAAAAATCAAAAGTTTTACTTCCCATGGTTATATATTCCCACTTATATTTAAATTCCTTGATTTCTTTAAATGTCATTGATTTTCTAAGGCTACAGACATGTTTTCCAATTTCTAACATTTTTGCACAACTGGTTTCTAAGCTCACCTAGGCACAGAGGTGAACTTTTGTGATTGCAGTGTGTCCAGTGTTCATTATTGTCCACATTTCTTTAAACAACATCTTCTACAACACTTGATGGATTTTGACCAAACTTTTATAGGAATGATTATGAGGTGGTCCTCTACAAAAGGTATGTAAATGGTTCTAGATGATGCATTAAGTAGGTCACAGGAACTAACAATAGACTTCAAAAATGAGATCTTTAAAAACTTCTTCCCAGAAACTACAAAGCCCAGAGCTTAGATATTTAGCATATAACATCACCTTGTGGTCATCTACAAATGTTTTGTAAATCATGCCTTCTTTTTTGAAACTACACCTTCCCCAGGAGTCACTTAGTTTATATAATATATAGACTTGTACTGGAAAATACAATTATGTCTTCTGGAAAATACAATTATGTATTCTTTTATGAAACTACAACGCCAAGAGCTTAGTAATACATATTTGGCATATTTAGTTGACAGCTACAACAGTCTTCTTCTCTGAAATAACAATGCCCAGAGCTTAGTTATTTGGCAAGTTGCATCACCTTTTGGTCTTCTACAAATCATGTCCCTAGCATCAAAACTGGCGCACCCTGGGGGTTACTTAGTTTATATAGACTTGCATAGTAAAACAATTATTAAATGTCAAGTCTTCTTGTGTGAAAATACAATTCCAAGAGCTTTGATGTTTGTCCTGAAACATTTTGTTTAAGATGCAGACATCTACAAAAATTTTAAAAATTGTGAAGCTTAGAGAAGAAAGACAAACCCAATGTGACTTCATAACTGGTTTTCCACTTTCTATCATTAATCTCAGGTGAGCGACCCACGGCCATGATGGTCCTCCTGTTACTTTTATACTAGCTATGTTCATGGTACATACTTCATTGACCAGGGCATGTACTAATTTGTCCTAAAATACTTCATGTATGTCTTATTCTTTATTATACACAAGAAACAGAAATTTAATCAATGTTCAAAAATGTTTTATTATATATTTTATTTACAAGATAGCTTGTTATTTTGGGCGAGCATATTTTACTATAATAATAAAATTGTCATTTGCCCATTAAGTATTCTTTTGTATTTTGACCATTAAAGCAGCACATCTCTAAATTCCTATCAATGTTCTTGAAAATCAAACCATTGCCCTGCTTAACTTGTCCAATGGACTCTTCCTGGTTCTTTATTTGGAACTGTCCATTATCAATTTTGGGGAAATTAAGTTAGTCAGCCATCAGTGTAGGGGCTGGGCAGATTTCAGGGACGTGCAGACCGGCCTGGCTCAACACTGGTGGCAGTGGCTAATCACTTTTGGTCCCGGCACGGAATTTAATAAATTCAATGTGAAAAGACACTTAAAAATGTAAGATCATCTGTTAATGTGATTTATGTATATTCTGCTAAATGTGAGAAAGAAAATCAAGCTTAATGGTTGACCAATTGTGCAAATGGAGAAGAAATGTAAAAAGAACCTAGGTAAGTAAGAGAACAAACATGGCCTTGGTAACTTGATTCTTACAGTAACTTCTATTTTGTGTAACTCCCTACATAGAACACACACACGAAAAATCTTGCTCATTGCTATGTTATTAGATCTATAAAATATATAAATCTATATATCTGCTGCAAAGAGATTTGTTGAATTTTGAAGTAAAAAAACAATTCTTTCATGAAACAAATATGTTTTTATATTGTAGCATATTTTGTTCAGGAACATTAGATTTATTTACCAGTTAGTACAATCTATTAATATTTGTTAAATAACAGACATTCTGTGTTATACCTCTTTTAGTGTTACACCTCTCAGTGTTGCACATCTTTCGGGAATAGGCACAATATTATGGAAATTACATAATTTTATTATCAGAATATATCATCAGAAATAGCTATGTACATGTACCCTGTGTCAGAACATAATTTGGCAAAGAGGGTGATCTAATATCAACAAGCTCATATAATAATGAATGTATTATCAATAATCTTTTCTAAAAACTGCTCAAGTTGATGGTCTTTACCAATCATAAACAAAGTCTTAATTGGTTCTATTATATCTTTTTTGCTTGCAACACATCAATCTACCCATCCCCCACACAACACTGCCCAGCACACAACTTTGTATCAATCAGTTGCCATAGAACTACAATGTTTAACGTCACAGTATCAATTCACATGGAGATCCTTTATCAAATATTAAACAACTTGTCCAGCATGCATCAGTCCTGTAAAATAAAATAATCTTTAATTTATAATTCATAGTGAATGAAACAGTTCTAAGTTTTTTTTCATAGAATTTGAGTCTTTGTCACTAAATGTATTTTGGTACTTATAGCATTATGTTATATTATAGCATTATACAAATATTTATACATTAATCAGCTGATCACAAAAAAGTGAAGAAAATAATACGTCCCTTTTTTCAATGGGCGTATAAAAATCATACCCAAAATGCTTTATCAACATTCATGTTTATTTAAAAGAAATATTTATTATAAATTTTTTCTTTATTTCTTAGTTTAAGAAAAACTTAAGAACAGGACAGCATTTATTTACTTACAATAATATACAATAATTATTATTGACTAGTATGTGTGCCATTGAATATGATGTGTTATTCACTGGCAGAAAGACATGTTGACAATATGTCATCCGCAAGAGAATATCACATCATATTCAATGACTTACTAGTTTTATTATATGAGTAGGCTAAGAATTCAAAATATCACAAAAAATACAACGTTAAACATGTACAACTTTTTCCCCCGATTCGTGAATGGGTGTGCAACGACTACGCAAACGCTGCGCATACAGAAGTAACTCAAGTTTATATTCATCATTGTGGTGTAACCTTTAACCCTTTCACTGCCATAGGGACGGCATATGCCATCCATATTATTTTGCTTTTGCTGTTTCTACAATAATAATAATAAAATATATAATTATACCATCAACAATAGTTGTTATTATACTAGCAGATTTGGAAACATATATAATTATCATAATACTAATTACAAATTATAATTATACGAGTATTAATGAATAATATAGTAATTTCTTAAAAAAACCTTCTGGCAAATAGGTGATAAATAAATAAATAACCCTCTGGCAGCAAAAGGGTTAACTATCATAGTAAAGTAATGCTATTTTAATCAAGAAATAGGACATAAAGATCAAAACGCAACAAATATTTTTTAATGCTCATGGGTAATTTAAACAGTCTATGATGTATGGTCATTGAATACGAGTCTCAATCTATTTTTAGACTTGAAAATCTAATTCAGCCAGTGAGTATGATACTATAAAAAGTTCTGTTGACTACTGTTAAGACCAATGAGATTGCAGCTATATTTAGATCTTATTATAAATATTTCAATTACATGCTTTGCAGTGAAAAGTGAAATTATATTTGATAATTTTCACAGTAAAATTATATTTGATATTTATAATAAATGTAATGTAGCCGGACTACATGCAGATGAAAATAAAATTTCATAACTAAATTGAATCATCAACAGGAATAAATTCTGTCATGTTAATTTTGCTTCTTTAGGAGAAGCAAGTATATTAACATTGTGTTAAAAATGAAACATTCAAGAAATTTTACAGACCTAAATTTCAACATTGGTACTATGACATGATGTGATGACGTCATGAAGAAGAGTGCAGGACGTTAACACGGCAAAACAATTCACTAAATCACTTAAAAAGCTTGAAATAAATAGAAAATTTGTTTGTTTTGCATGTAATATTGAAATATATATTACACTCATGAACACCAGCTATTTTATTTTCACTCAGTGAAATATATTTCAATCTTACTTGCAAAACATAACAAATATCATCTATAGTTAAAGGAACTCCAAAATCCTAAAAAACAAACTATGAATTTCTAACATAGATGAGCTTTGGCCCTTAAAACAGACAGATATGCACAAAATAATTCAACAAGAGCTGTCCGTAAGACAGCGCGCTCGACTTTTTTATTGCTTGCCAATAAAAAAAGTTTTTGCAGTAAAAGGCAATACAAGAATCTCTGTATTTTTAAAGTGAACAATGGCCATGAGCATTAAGATATTTAGTGAAGAATTATTTTACTGAATTGTGTGATACCCTTGAACACTGCAGCAAAGTTTGAAATGTTTAATGTGTTCTGTCCGTAGCTGGTCACTTGTCCACCAATCAAATAGGCGAGATAAAATGTGAAATATGCATATACTACTGATTTTAATTTCAAGTACAAAAAGAGAAAAATAACTAGTTGTTTGATACCCTTGAATATTACAGCAATGTTTATATGACATAATTTATGGTAAAGTGAACAAGTGGATAGGAATGATTTTTTTTAGATTTTTTAAGTTTTTTAGTGCTTGCCTATAATACAAAACATTGACAGTTAAGGGCCATAATTCAAATAAAATCTTTGACAGAATTACCTTCTCCTAGACATGTTTGGGAATCATGATTGTAAACAAGTATTCCAACTTTCAAATTAATATCTCAAACAGTTCAGTCAAAAAGTGGACTGGTACTAAAAACTTAACCAAGATTCTAAGTCGATAAAAGGCCTTAATTTTTAAAACAAATCCTTGACAGAGTTACCTTCTCTTGCGTACAGATGGGGGTAATGATGTGAAATAGCATTAAAAGTTTCAAAGCAATATCTCAAAGGGTTAAGGCAATAAGTGGATTTTACCCATATTCAATGTATTTTCTAAGTCAAAAAGGGGCATAATTCTGTCAAAAACCTTGACAGAGTTATGTCCTCTTGTCTGTTGATGAAGGTCGTGATGGTAAACAAGTATGGTCAGTTTCAAAGCAATACCTCCAATGGTTTTGAAATAAAGTGAGGTGGTACAAAAAACTTAACCAAGCTCAATACACTTTCTAAGTCAAAAAAAGGGCCATAATTCTGTCAAAAACCTTGACAGAGTTATGTACTCTTGTCTGTAGATGGAGGTTATGATGGTGAACAAGTATGGTAAGTTTCAAAGCCATACTTGTAATACTTCTGAAATAAAGTGGGGTGGTACGAAAAACTTAACCAAGGTGTGACGCCGACGCCGACGCCGGGGCGAGTAGGATAGCTCCCCTTTTCATAGAAAAGTCGAGCTAAAAATATATTGAAAATTGTATTTTATGTGATATTCTTACCCCAATTTGAGTGAAAAGGATTGTAACGCTTTTCAATTTTGGGTCATTTTTTTCAAAATTAGAGTATTACTATCCCAGAAAAAAGGAGTGAGAAAATGATCTGAAATTTTGCACAAAAGTTATTGGAATAAATATACATCAAACGAAACATTAACCTCGAAATATTATTGCCTGCCCCATTATAATGTCAAACAAGAGCTGTCCGTAAGACAGCGCGCTCGACTTTTTTATTGCTTGCCAATAAAAAAAGTTTTTGCAGTAAAAGGCAATACAAGAATCTCTGTATTTTTAAAGTGAACAAGTATTCCAACTTTCAAATTAATATCTCAAACAGTTCAGTCAAAAAGTGGACTGGTACTAAAAACTTAACCAAGATTCTAAGTCGATAAAAGGCCTTAATTTTTAAAACAAATCCTTGACAGAGTTACCTTCTCTTGCGTACAGATGGGGGTAATGATGTGAAATAGCATTAAAAGTTTCAAAGCAATATCTCAAAGGGTTAAGGCAATAAGTGGATTTTACCCATATTCAATGTATTTTCTAAGTCAAAAAGGGGCATAATTCTGTCAAAAACCTTGACAGAGTTATGTCCTCTTGTCTGTTGATGAAGGTCGTGATGGTAAACAAGTATGGTCAGTTTCAAAGCAATACCTCAAATGGTTTTGAAATAAAGTGAGGTGGTACAAAAAACTTAACCAAGCTCAATACACTTTCTAAGTCAAAAAAGGGCCATAATTCTGTCAAAAACCTTGACAGAGTTATGTACTCTTGTCTGTAGATGGAGGTTATGATGGTGAACAAGTATGGTAAGTTTCAAAGCCATACTTGTAATACTTCTGAAATAAAGTGGGGTGGTACGAAAAACTTAACCAAGGTGTGACGCCGACGCCGACGCCGGGGCGAGTAGGATAGCTCC